GGGGGAGGCAGAGGCAAAGGTAGGAATTTTCATGTGCAGCATATTAAAGAACTGTACAAGGCTGATCTTCAAATTACAGAGGGATAGGCAGGCTTCAGGGAGTCAGCTGAGACAAGTATGAGAGGAGTTAACTAAGCCTAATTAGAAGTGGACCAGGAAAGGTGGCAGGGGTGGAGTCAGACAACCAGGAGCAAAGGGTGAGGCAGGTTGGCTAGAGCTGGGACGGATCTTAAGCAGGAACCCGGACAGAATCCCATCCTGGAAAGAAGTCAGGACAGAAATAAGGAAGAGGTTGTGGAATAGTAATAGCTAACATAACACTTATTAAACATTTCTCTTTTTTTTTACGATGTGGTAGGCATTGTTCTAAACATTTAAAAGAATTTATTCACTTAAACTTCACAAGAGTGAGAGAGCTAACTATTACTCTCCTTATTTTACAGATGCGGAACCAAGGCACAGAGAAGTTGAGTGATTTGCCCGGGGTTCTACACATAGCAAATGGCAGGCCAGGATTTGAGACCATGGTAATGAACATCTACTCTGTGCTAGGGTTTTTACATATACTTATTTGGTATGTGTATGAGTGTTGTGTACACACACAAACGCAACGAGGATTTTTTTGGAAAAAAAAAAGTAATATGCTACCCACCCTCCTTTCTGGCACATGACCTTTCCCCTATTCAAGCAAAGGTACAATATATTACTGCCATCAAGGAGGATTATGGTTGTTAAAGGGAAAAAGAGGTCATTTACTGTTCAGCTTCAAACCTAAAAACTGACTTTTTTTTTTCATCTGTAATAAAACAACAGTTTTGGGAAGGTCTTTTTCTACATTCTAACAGCTTCTTTTATTTATCAAGAGCTTGACTTGGCCCACCTGGATCACATAACTTTGGTACAAGATACAGGCAGGAAGAATTCAAGTTAGGAAAAGAGAAATAACCAACACCTAGGAAATAGAAGAAAGGGTCTTTCTCGCAGAAAGAAGAAAGAAAAAGCAGTGTGTGTGTCACTGATTCGCCCTTGTTATGGGCTGAACTGTATTCCTCCAAAACCCATATACTGAAGTCTCAACGCCCAGTACCTCAGAATGAAACCTATTTGGAAATAAGGTCTTTAAAGAGGTAATTAAGTTAAAATGAGGCCATTAGGGTGGGACTGTAATCCAATACGACTGGTATCCTTATAAGAAGAGGAAGAGACCCCAGGGATGCAGGAGCACAGAAGGACAACCATGAGATGAAAAAGCAGCAAGAAGGTGGCCATCTGCAAGCCAAGGAGAGGGGCTCTAGAAGAAACCAACCTGCTGGTACTTCAACCTTGGACTTCTAGACTCCATCAGAGTTTATGTTACATCAGAACATAAATTTCTGTTGTTTTTAGCCAACCAGTCTGTAGTATTTTGTACGGCAGCCGTACCAACTAATACACCCCTCTAGGCTGAAACTCCTTAGGGAGGAAGGCAAAAAAATAAGGTAAATGTGGGGGGAATCCCAAAGAAGTGGAGCTTATTTCTCACTTCCATGGACAATTTCAAGCTCCCTTAAAGAATTTCTGTGTTCTAACAGCCCAGATAACAGACTGAAAATGGCAGGATAGAATAATAAATTAGAAGATGTCCAAAGTCACCTTTCCGATTCCTGTGGAGCAGGGATTCCTAGATTCCCAAAGATAGCCTGACAGTTGCAATGAGTACACCTAGCACCTAGACTTTGGTCTCTAATACTATTTTCCAATAAAAGTAACTAGGGCTCCGTGGAGAAGGAGTCTAGGACTGGGGCAGGAAGTATATAAGATAAGCCAGAAGCATCTTGTAGTGCCAGAAAGTAGGGGTTTGTCACAATGATGGGGTATTATGTCAGAGGGATACAGGAGGCAAATGAAAGAGCTCCCAATGGCCAAAGTTGGAACCATTTGAGCAACAAAATAAAGTAGCACTGGATTATAACCTAAAGTATAAAATAAATATCCATGAATCCATACTGATATCAATAAATGACTGAATAAATAAATAAGGGAGAAGAGATAAAGGTCCAAGTAATTTATATGCAGAAGAATTCCAAGTAATTTATATAGATACTCTGCCCTTAAGGAGATAGAACATAACTCCCAATTCATTAAGTGCACATAGTAACTTCCTTCCAAAGAGCATAGCATGGAAAAGGAGAAAAAGAGAGTAACTTTACAGTGGAGAAACCTGACAAACACTACCTCAAGCCAGGTGATCAAGGTTAACATCTAGTGATAAGTCATTTTGAGAGATGTTCGCTTGATACGATGAGTATGGCACTTTATCTCTGTGGTCTTCCTCCCCAAAACCATTACCTGAGTCTAATCCTGAGAAAAGCATCAAACAAATCCCAACTGAGGGACATTCTACAAAACACCTGACCAGTGATCCTCAAAACTTTCAATATCATAAAAAATAAAGTCTGAAAAAACTGTCACAACTAAAAGAAGACTAAAGAGACATGACAACTAAATGTACTGTGGAACCCTGGATGGGATCCTGGAATAGAAAAAGGGCATTAGAGAAAAACTGAGAAAATCAAAATAAAGTATGGACTTGTTATTAATAATGTATCAATAGCGATTCATTAATTATGACAAATGCACCATATTAATGTAAGATGTTAATAACAGGGGAAATTAGGTGTGGGGTATGAGGAAACTGTTTGTACTATCTTTGCAATAATTCCATAGATCTAAAATGTTCTAAGATAACAGTTAAAAAAAAAATGGTAGCCAGAGCAAGGACTGCCTTGCCAACACCCCCTCAAAACACATCATACCTAAGGCAGCTAGCTCATCAGGGCAAAGGGATTTTTGGTGTGGAACATCTATGGAGTGGAGGCGGGAAGGGTATATAGGGAGGTGATGCCGCCATAAGATCCTGGTCTCCAAAAAACTGTGAAGCAAATACCTAGTCAGGCGTCCAAACACCACTGTTGATACTTAAGATAAAGACCCTTGAGGAACCCCAAAACCACGTGCAGATTTGAGGTCACTGCCCACATTGCCCTGGGGACACATAAGATTTAACCTATACCTCAGACACTACGGTGACAATGAGAATATTAACAGTCAGGATACCTTACTTAGGCTGCAGCTAAGAACTCTCAACTTGACTGGCTTAAACAATATGGAAATTTTTTAATCTCATATAATGAGTGCCAATATTCTATTGTAACACTCCACTCTGCCATCTTCAGTGCCTCAGCCATTCCTTAGCTAACTCTCGTGGCACTCCGGTTGTCTCAATTTCAGGTATCACGTGCAGAAGCAACACTATCTGGCAGAAGAGACCATCTCTTCATTTTGAAGAGTACTGCTCAGGTACTTTGTAGAATGTCCCTGAATATGAGTTTGTATGATGCTTTCTTATGATTAGACTGGAGATTTTTGATTTGGGGTAAGATAACCACAGAGGTGCAAGTATGACTCTTTTAAGGAGCAAGGAAACTTCCCTTCATGACTCACTAGCCAGCCCCTTCCTAAACTAATCACTGGGAATAATGAAATTACCATAATCAGTTTAAACCAATCAGGACTTACCCCTGAGTCACAGAGAAGGATGTATACCAAACAAAGGGGGTATAAATGATTATTGAGGGGGCCAGCACCAGTGTGTACTATAGGTAAAAACCCTGAAAGGCAGAGAGAGGCTTTACTTTAAAGAGACTACATTAATGATTAAACATTAAAACAAGTCTATTTCAAAATGGAAGACACTTTTAATTGTCAAATTTACTTCAACACTATCACCACCCAAAGGGATTTTAGATCATTTATAGAAAATAAATCCCTCCTCTCAGCTATTGAGGGAGTAGCAGGAATAAAGCAAACACCTCTGAAAGACAAATTTCATCTACAGTTCATCTAGACCAAGACAACCCTTTCTATTAGCAACTCAAAGCCTCCTCATTAACCCCAGGAACATACACTCACAAGCTCTCCAACGAAGATGCTATAGCTAGTTCAAAATATAAAATTGACATGCAAAGAAGAGGTACAGATTTGTGAGCCAGCTGCATAGAATATTAGCCAAACAACAGTTAAGATACCTGGGGCAACATTTCCCAAACTAGTGTGCTTTGCTACATTCTTCTGTACCATGGTAACAAGTAGGCCATGAAAACAGTAGTCGGTGATCAAATTAACTGACAGAGACTAAGTTAAACAAAATTAAATAGGCTTCTTTACTAATACATTTCTCAGAGCCTTTATATGCTAGCAGGCATTATGAATTCCAAGAGGACGATATACTGCTTATATTATTTAACATTTCCCTCCAAAAAGAAGGCTTTTCTCCTGACCATCTACAAACGATTTCTAGGACAGCATTCTGTTTAACACCACCTTGAGAAATACTGCTGTAAGGGGAAAGCAAAGGCCCAAGAATAAAGTCCATTACTATTACGCTGTTGGGGGGGGGAAAAATCCATCAAAGAATATAGTGAAGAAGGCAGGAAGCAAAGCCGGAGAGTTCAATGATACAGAAGCAAGAAAGGAGATAGTTTCCAAAAAGCTAGAGACAATCAATTACTGAGAAATTAAACAGAATGAGAATAAAAATGTTTTTTTGGATTTGACCAGGAAGACTGACACCTGTGACCTTCAAGAGAATAGCTTCAGAAAAGAGGAGAAAAGAAGGATGGCATACAGAATTTAAAAATTAGGATGGGGCTGAAAAAAGAAATAGATGAAACATTTATAGACCACCCATAACCGGAGTTTAAAAGTGAAAATTTAAAAAGACATTGGTTGGGGCTTCCCTGGTGGCGCAGTGGTTGAGAGTCCACCTGCCGATGCAGGGGACACGGGTTTGTGCCCCGGTCTGGGAGGATCCCACATGCCGCGGAGCGGCTGGGCCCGTGAACCATGGCCGCTGAGCCTGCGCGTCCGGAGCCTGTGCTCCGCAATGGGAGAGGCCACAACAGTGAGAGGCCCAAGTACCGCAAAAAAAAAAAAAAAAAGACATTGGTTGATTGGGAGAAGGGAGTATATGGAAGAATAAAAAAATTTTAGAACAGCGAACACCTACATATGGTTGAAGGTAAAAGTGAAAGCCTACTGAAAGAAACTGATAATTACAGTCCAGTAGATGGAAGAAATGGAATCCTGAGTATAAATTACTAAAAAAGACTTATCTTTCTTTCCAGATTGGAGAGAATTTGAATAGTATGCCTAACCATTCCAAGACTGAAGACCTTGTTTTAATACTACAAAATTTCATGGATTTCTGCCTATTCCACCCAACAGAATTTTTCAGTCTATAGAGTTCAGTATGTAGTATGTTTGTAAGTTTGCTGAGCTCTTGCTCCTCTCAGAAGCTGTCTCTGTTATGGTGAAGGTGTAGGTCATAGAAAAGCACTTACCTGAGGGCTTCAATCTTCATGAAATAAGAAACAAGGTAGAGGTTGGTGACAATAAGGAAGTTGGAAGCTCAGAAGATTTTAATTTATAATGACTTACTACAAATGATTTTAATATACAAAATAAAAACTTATAATAGGAACACACACAAAAAAGTGTGAAGACTACCAAAAGAGGGTCCAGAAAGAAAGGCATCTACTTATCCCACCCAGAAATTTACTGTGGTAAATCAACAGAAGTTGCATAGGTCATAAGTTAATAACATAGTTCCCAATATGCTGGTGTGAACAAAGACTATTCAGCGGCGGGTCTAATTACAGTCTAGCTTTAAACTTTTAAAATTTAAACTTAGTATGGCCTTCGAACACCAACCCTAATAGTCAGGCATACAAAATTTCATTTTTATTTCCTTTCAAGATCAATGAGGACAATGACATGAGATTCTGTTGCTTAGAACTTATTTCTAGGTTCTACCTTTTCGGCTAATTTCACTAACCATTCAAACTGAGTACATAATTTTGGATTATCTATGTCCAAGTCACAAGTGGCTCACATATGGCTCCAGAGCCCATCTATCGTAACATTTCCATCACAAAAAGGGCAGTAATATCCGACTCTTTGCTTAATACATAGCCCCATAGAGATGTAAGAAAACTCAGACTGCTTTAAAAAATATATGGTGACCATCATAAGTAGAGGAGTTAGAGGAGGCCCCATCCTTTAAATAAATTAATTAATAATAATCAGTGTGCACGGAATAAAGGATAAGGTAACACACCAAATCCGGCAGCCTCCAGATTTGTGTATCTGTAAACGTAAGGCGGCCGACCACATAGGCCAGATGATTACTACTGCCAGCTCAGCAGCTGAGCTTGGAGAAGAGGCGGCATCCACACACAGGCCACTCTTGAGAACCAAAACTTACAGCCAGTTTCATCTGGCAGGGACTGGAAAATGTGGCAGTGATTAAACCGGTTAAAGTCCGACAGAAATAGGGTTGTTAGCGGTAAGGGGAGCCTCCGAGGCTTCAATTCTGGAAGGCATAAGGCAGCCACGGCTGGGCGAACACCCCCACCGCAGAGCTGGAAAAAACTGGGGGTTGAGGGGAGAGGGCTCGTCCTTACCTTGTCATCCTCGCATCTTTTCCCAAGGCCCTCCCTGGCCTGCAGCCGGCTGCTGAGCCGGCCGTAATCGGCCTCTTTCTGGTCAATCTGTTTCTTGTGCGAGTCCACCAAGAGCAGCAGGTCCGAATTGCGCTTCTCCAGGCGCCCGCGAGCCACCTCGGTGCGCTGGACCTGGCCCTGCAGCTCGGCCACCTCCTCCTGAAGCAGGACGTGGCGGGAGGAGATTCTCCAGTAGTTGAAGGCGAGGACCGCGATCACCACCAACAGGACCACCAACACGAAGGAGGGCAGGCGGCCGGCCCGCCTGTTCGCCCCGAAACCCACCATGGGGCCGAACCAGGCTGTACCCCGATGCCTCGGCGCCGACGCCTGCAGGAAGACGCTCAGGCCGAGGTGGCTGAGTTGCCTGGGGGACACGGCCCCAGGGCCGGCTGAAGCCGGAGGCGGGCCGATTCGCCCGCCCGCGAGCCGGAGAAGGGGGCGGGGCCGCAAGCCGCAGGCCCCTCCCCGCCCCCCCCCTTCAAATCCTGCCACAGCGCGTTCCGCAGTCGCTGAACTAGACCCCGCACCAGCTGGGCGGAACCAGGAGAACCCAGCTGCCCGAAACCCAGGTCCAACACTTCAGGGTTAGGGGGCGGGGAAAAGAGCCGGAAGGGGGTGGATTTAACTCTGGCCCCGCCCATTGGCTGGGTCTGGGTCGCCAAGGGGGCCATTTCCTAGTTTCCGCCAACGCCCCCTCTTCTCGCGAGAAAGTGGGCTTTTCTCGCTCTTCTCAGTCTTATCTCGCGAGGGTTATCTCTGTCTGGAAGAGTGTTGTGATGATTTTGGCGGTCTGGGTCAGTACTTGTATACCTGAACTGGAGCCCCTTCGGCTTTTACCTGCTCAATCCCCTTGACCCACGGTCTAGGGAGTGCCTACCATGCCATGGCCCTCGTGAGAGTTTTTGTTTTTGAGGACATCTGAGGTTGCGACCGCTATGTAAGGAAAACTTAGGTGAGCTGCGGGCAGAAGGGGCGACTAGATTTTGTATTTGCTTCAGTAGGTTTTCTTGCTTGTGCTAACGATGTGGAGAGAAAACAATAAGCAGAAAGAAAAATACCATGAAATTGTGGTGCCCCAAACATTACGGGGGAAAGCAAGAGAAACTAAGTTTTATGACTGAAAGAGGTGGTACCAGCCTGGTCTCCAAGGTTACTGCTTTCACTAATGGAAAGAACTTCAGAATGTATGAGCCCTTGTTCCTAAACTCACTGCTCCTTTTGCCTCGAACTGGGCTTCCAAGTAGAAAGTCCAGAAGCTGCCCACAATGAATGATAACTTATGCTGTTACTGACAGCAAGCACGGTCTGGGTTAGATATAGTAGCTCTCTTACAAATTGTTTTTGCATACTTAGTCTCATCTTATCCTCTCAGCAACACAGTTTTACAGATGAGGAATCCAAGACAAAAAGATGTACCAGAAACTTTCTCAAAGTCCCATATCTTGTTTGAGACAGAATTAGGCTTGAATTCGGGTCATTGGTCTCTAACATCATTGCTCTTTGCATTATACCAGGCTAACTGTTGCTATATGTTCGGCATTAATTACAGTGATGCAGAAAAAGCCCTCACCTCTTTTGTGTTTTCTGCATATTTGTCCTCGCATTAAAGTTTTTTTTTTTAACATCTTTCGCATAGAAGTTTTAAAAGTTATTTGGCTCTTTCCTGTTTAAGGAGAAGATGGAGTTGCTTTATTTTTCAGACCTCAGGTTCAAGAATGAACATAAACCAACCAAATGCAAGAACTTTGGTATTTTCATTCAAATCAGAGTGGTATGATTTTGAAGTAAGGAGACTTGTTATCTTTGAATAATTATTCTATGTTTCCTGTCCATTTCAAAAATAAAGTTTTTTGCCTAATAGTCCTAGAGTAGCCTGGAAGAATTATTGCACCCTGAAAGAGTGATGATTTCTCTCTCACAAATACAGTAAAAAAACACCAAAATTATTAATATTTAGTCCACATCAAACTTGAGCCCTTTGCTCTGGCTTCATAAGATCTAAGAAATCCCCTCCAGTCTCAAAGGACAAGCAGACCTTGGCAAAAGGGAGCAAGACAAAAATGGGAAATCCTCGTCTATCAATTTCATATTGACTTTGCTTTGCTTAGCCAGCAGTTGAAACTATAAAGTGACATTAAACTGCTTAAGATGTTTCAGATGATCTTTCCAAAAGTGTTTTCATTTTTATGTGGGATTCTAGCATGTAGAAGTATAATATTATTGTACAAAACACATTCACATACATTTTTTTCATCAGATGCTTAAAAGAACTATTTGGTACCATTATTCCATTTTACAGATGTGGAAGTAACTTGCCCAAAGTCATACATCTAGTAAGTGGCAGGGCTGAAGCTTGAAAAACAACCCTCTTTCCACTCCTCCCCCAGGGAGAAAAATTTTTTTATCTGTTTTGATGGTTACCTCTTTGAGTTCTTCCCTCTACTAACAAACCCAATCAAGATATCATGAAGACAGTGTATAAGTGCTCTCCTATAGATGGTTCTGGATTAGGCTTTAAACTAATTGAGGTAAAAGTCAATTCCTTAAATCAGATGATCGAGGTTAACAACAACAGTGGTAAGTCATGTTGTTAGCATGTACCTTTGATAGGATGTGATGGAAGTAGCACTCTGTGGTTTTCCTCCCCAAAACTCATAACCCTATCTAATGGAACTCTGGAACTCTGTAGTATTTTTACAGGTTTTCTGTATTTCTAAAATTTTAAAAATTAGTTATAAAAGTTCCTATTTGGGGGGATATCTTTTATGATATCAAGTATGGATATAAATATATTCATATAATTGGAAAGGCAGTATAATCACAGATAAATAATGTTTTAAGATTTAATAGAGGACGTCCCTGGTGGCACAGTGGTTAAGAATCCACCTAACAATGTAGGGGACATGGGTTCGAGCCCCTGTCCATGGAAGATCCCACATGCCGTGGAGCACCTAAGCCCGTGCACCACAACTACTGAGCCTGTGCTGTAGAGCCTGTGAGCCACAACTACTGAGCCTGCGTGCCACAACTATTGAAGCCCCCGGGCCTAGAGCCTGTGTTCTGCAGCAAGAGAAGCCGCTGCAATGAGAAGCTTGCGCACCACAACAAAGAGGAGCTCCCGCTCAACGCAACTAGAGAAAGTCAGTGCGTGGCAATGAAGACCCAACACAGCAAAAAAAAAAAAAAAAAAAAAACCCCTTTCTAAAAAAAAAAAAGATTAAATTGAAGCGTAAGAATCTATTACCCAGTGGCAAGTGAGGTTAAATCATAGGAATTTTGCTTTTATATGGAGCTCATTTTCTTGAGCTCAAAACACTGTTTGCCATATATTGTCTTCAATATATGTTGACTCATAAAATATTTGACTTCCTGGATTTGAGCAGAGGAGTAGTTATTTTATAGCTTATTCTTCAATATTTAGGACATTGAGTAGGACTAGGTTAGAGAAGGTAGCAGCTTGTAGAAATAGAAAATACACAGATGTGTAGGCAAGTTCTTTCCATTGTAAATAAAAAATAACCTAAACTGGTTTAAGCAATAAATAAGTAAAATTATATATATATATGTGTGTGTGTGTGTGTGTGTTTGTGGGTGGGTGGGTGGGTGGGTGCATAGATAGATAGATACTAGGGTAATTTACAGTACTATTGGAAGAACACCAGGAACTGGGGTCTTTCTGTTTCCACCCTCTTCTTGGCTTTATTCTCTCCTACTTCAGATGGCCCTTTTCCTTGTAGACAGGAAATGTGGCCCCAGCATCCAAAGGGACACATCCTGCCAGTTCCAAGATCTGAGAAGCAAAGGAGTTCAGTTTTCTAGCTGTCAGTACAAAAATGACCAAGGAAAGGTTCTGGTTGTCCAAGCCTGATCGTGTGCACGCCACTTGTACTTACCACTGTGCCCAGGGACCTGGGGGATTATGATTGGCCCAACATAGGGCACTCCTCTATTGCCAGTGGGCAGTCTGATACCAAGAAACAGAAAGAGTTGGGTAGAACTAAACAAATAATGTCGTGGCTTGTGGGATCTTAGTTCCCCAGCCAGGGATTGAACCCGGGGCCCCGGCAGTGAAAGCACTGAGTCCTAACCAATGGACCACCAGGGAATTCCCACAGTTTTCTTTTTCTTGACATGTATTACCTCCCTTCCAATTAAGAACAGTCAGTGACTGAATAAAGACATGGTGTCACAGGTTGGGTTCCCCAGGAAACAAATTCTGAGATGGAAGTTAGGAAGGTTTTTTTGTTTTTCGGGGTTTTTTTTTTGTGGTACACGGGCCTCTCACTGTTGTGGCCTCTACCGTTGCGGAGCACAGGCTCCGGACGCGCAGGCTCAGCGGCCATGGCTCACGGGCCCAGCCGTTCCGTGGCATGTGGGATCTTCCCGGACCGGGGCACAAACCCGTGTCCCCTGCATCGGCAGGCGGACTCTCAACCACTGCGCCACCAGGGAAGCCCAGGGAGGTTTTTTAAGGGAGTGTACCTGGGATCACCACCCATAGAAGAGAAGGGAAGGGAAGAGAGAACAACAGGATGGGCAGAGGGAGAAGCTGGGCTGCTATAAAGTCTCAGTGAAAACCTCAGCCAACTCCCTGAAGAGCACTGGAGCTGGGATGTCCCTTCAGAGCTGTCCTGCGTTGGAGGGGTCCAGACCTTTATACCCCCAGATCAACCAGGTTTTGGATGGCTAGGGGGAAAAGTCACAGTCACAGGAAGGGGTATGATGTCATGCATGGAGATAGATGCTATGATGTGCCACTCAGATCCCATTTCAGGAATGAAGGACTTTTTTCCCCAGCTGCTGGGAGTGCTGTCAACAGATAGCCCTCAGCTATCAGCCCCCTTCAGAATTACCTCAGCTGAAAAGGGTGACCTTGTGAAAAGAATGCCCCCTTCCCATGGCAGCCAGTACTAGTCAAGAGAAAACACAGTCGTTAAGTTACTTCCCTATGTCAAACCCATTTCCTACAGTTGTATAGCAAGAGGCAGTATACTGTAAGGGGTAATATGGGCTCTGGAGTAAGAATGTGTGAATTAAAAGTCTCTCTTTGCCTCTTAATAAGTTTGTAACATCAAGCCAGCTACTTAAACTCAGAACCTCAGTGTTCTCATTTCCAAAATGGCCTATCAGTTAGGATAAAGTTTGGCTCCATTGAAGGGGGAAAAAATAATAACTTAAACAAGATAAGGTTTTCTCCTTTCTCACATAAAATAAATTGAGAAGCAGGCCATCCGGGACTGGTATGGCAGGCTCTTTCCAGCTCAGTGCTCTGTCATCCCTACAGTATGGACCTCATCTTCACTTCCAGACATGACATTCTTGGTCCAGGAAGCAGGAAGGAGAAAGGGTATGCCCTTCTCCAACTATTAAGAAGACTTCTCCAAATGTACATTTCCACTTCTCATTGCTCTGAAGCTAGTCACACAGTCACCACCCTGAGACCAAGGAGGCAAGGAAATATATCTTACAGCAGCAATGTCATCATTTGAAAATTAGGGTCTTTTAGTGAAGGAAAAGGGAAGAAAAAGTATAAGGAAGCAAAAACAAACTCTGTCACAAAGGGGGGTAATCATAATTCT